GGTGGGGCTGATTTTTGAGTTCTTGGAGAGAAGCTGATCTGTATGCCCTTTCCTGGGAGCAGCTGTGGCCTGAGCCCTGGGACACCACCTAGTGGCCTGGAATGGTAGTGCCATTGGGCTGGGCCCAGACCTTATGCAAGAAGGGACAGCGAGTCCCTCTGCAGGCTGTGATCACAGCAGTTACAGATAGATCACAAGATCTGGTCTGTCTCTGGGAGTTTTCAGAGGAGGGAGCCAGGGGTGTGCAGGGACACAGCTGGCCTCGGGTAATCACTTCAGAAGAATGGGGGGGGGCGTGCAGAAAAGTGTTGGCAATTGGGACCTCTGGCCTCCCAGCCCCATACCTCCTCCTGAGGCCTCCTCTTCTAATCCCCACCTTCTGGGGTTGAGTCCTCCTAGGAGGCAGCAGAGTATCAATTCAGGTGTTGGAGGGGGTCGATCTCCTGCCCGCTGGAGCTGTCGCTGTCTTGGAAAGAAGACCAACAGACCAGCCTTGTGTGCCAGGGAGGAGGCCCTCAGGCCAGGTGGCAGAGGGCTCAGGCACCTTAACCGTGTCACTGAGCAGCCTTGGCCTTGGTCGCTTCGTCTGTGAAGTGGGGTAATAATGCACACCCTGTATAAATGATAGGTTTGTTGTGAGGACTAAATGAGAATGCAGGGAAGACAGGGCTTTGGAAATGAAGAAAGCACCCCGTCCCCACCGTTGATATGAGCCGGAGAAGGAAGAGAGGGGAAGGGAACCCACAGTTGCTGCACTCCAACTTCTTTCCTTCCCTTCTTTACTCATCTGCCTGATAAGTTACGTTGGAGCTGCTGTTGGACATCCACGTGGAGCAGCGGGTCGGCTGTGCAAGTGTGGAGTTCAAGGGCGTGTTCCAGGGAGGCCTCAGGGCGAGAGACATGTGGGAGCCAATATTCGGCGTGTAGACAGTATCAAAGCTGTGGGACTGGATAAGATCACTCAAGGTTTGAGTATAGCTCAGGAAAAGGGCCAAGACCCGGGCCGGAGGTCACACCAACCTGTCTCGTTGGGTGCTTCCTATGCTGAGGCACCCGTATAAATTCTATCACAACACCCCTTCCACGTAGGTATGATCCCAACTTTGACAGACGAGGAAGCTGAGGTTCAGAGAAATGAAATAATTTCTCCAAGTCACACAGCCTTACCAGGCCCAGGCAGAATGGGAATCTATTCTGGCTCCTGGGCTCTCACATCCCCCATGTGGGCCCTACCTGGCCCTGCAGGAGACTGGCTGGGATGACCTTGGGCAAAGTCGGGAGAATGACTCTCCAACTCTCGGGCAGCTGGCCCACCTCCCTGGGCCAGGCCGGGAGTGACTCAGGCCTTGGCTGTCTACACAAGCTTGGAGGGGAGCTTGGCTGTCTGCCGCCCCTGCCAGGCCTGGATTCCTTTCTGGGGAGGCGGAAGGCCTGGCTCCCTGGGACCTGGGGGAGGACAGGTGTGGGGTTTCTGCTTCCCAATCCCCAGGTTGCTCACAACCTGTGAATTCAGGAGAGCCTCTGAGTCTGCCTCCAAGAGGTCTAATGGGCTCAGCAGGTTAGATTCACTTCCTTTTTCAGAAGTCAGGGGTTATCTCCCTCTGTTTCCCTGCCAGTGCCCAGCAGCCAGGGTTCAGAGAGGCGGAGGAGTGATTTCCCCAAGGTCACAGAGCCAGTTCTGGGGCAGAGCCAACAGACCCCTTCCCTGCCCTCCCTCCGCCAGTGCTGTCTGGGTCACATTTCCTCTGCTGGAATGTCAGCCAGGCTGTGCCGTCTCCTGAGCCTTTCTGAGGTTCCTCCGCTCCTAGCCCTGCAAGCCTGACTTGGCATTTTTGCCTCTTAGGAAATGGGTTCCTAATTCTGGCTTCTCTACACACTAGCTGTGTGACTTTGTACAAGTTACCTAACTTCTCTGAACTGGTTTCCACAGCTATAAAGTGGGGACAATAACATCTATCTCTGGAGTTGTTAAAAAAAAAAGATTAAATGTGAAAGCACCTGGCACAAGCTCGTACACCTAAGCTGCCTACTTCATTTTTTCATGTGTTTAAAATTTTTTTTCATTTGAGCTGTGCCGGTTGTAGAAGGCAGCCTGGCACGGATGACTCTGACCCTGAGGACAGTCCTTCTCCCTGCTCCCAGCCACACTGGCCAAACCTCAGCCCTGGCCTCAGCCTCTGCACCTGAGCTCAGCGAGGGCTGGGGAGATGGTCCTCTGAGAAGTGGGGGCCCTCACAGCGACCCCTCCTGGTGTTAATTGTAGGCAGCCTGGCTTTGGGAGTCCGCGGGTCCTTGCAGAGTCCTATGAAAATAGCATTTCTCTACACTGAATCCTGTTTCCCATGACTGTTTCTGAGCCACTTTCTCCTCATCCACAGAAACGCTCTCTGATGGAAAAGTCAAGGCTTTACCGCTCCTGCTCTGTGTCCTGGGCATCTCCTCTGGTCCTGGGTCTCGGCTCTTCATCTGTAATGTGCAGCAGGCTGTAGCGTTGTCGGCCGTTTTCATGTCGCGGCAGACACACAACGTGCTCTTTTTCAAGGCTTTGCACCTGGGGTACATGGGAACAGCTGCTGCGGCCCAGCCTCCCCTGGGGCTGTGAGGATCGGTATCTCCTTCCCGAGGGCTGACAGAATTTCGGGGGGTTGATATCCAGATGCTGGGGAAGGATCGCCTAGAATCCCCCGCCCCATCCACTCCAGGAGCAGCTTGGCTGGCATACCAACTGCCCCTGGCTCTCTGCCGGCCTTGTGGGGCGGTGGCAACAACAGTCACGCAGCTAACCACGTTCCAGGCACTGTGCTGAGGATTATCCTGTTTAATTCTCATGGAAGCCCCATTCGTATAGGTGAGGGATCGGGCACAGAGAGGACAGGGGACGGGTACCAGGTCCCACAGCTGGAGCGGCAGAGCGGGAGTTGCAGCCTGGGGCTGAATCAGGGCACTTACTTAAATGGTAGGAGGGCAAGAAGGCTTCTTGGGGGCTTCCCGACACTCAGGCCCGGAGCCCAAGGGACCTGTAAAGAGGGCTGTTAATGGGGAAAACGTGGACCCCATCATCTTCCTTCTTCCTCTGTCAGGGCGGGATCAGGTCCTGGCCTCTTTCTCCAAGGGGCTGCCCTTGGCAAAGTGAGAGCCAGGTCCCTCAATCTCTCTTATGAAATTACTCGAGGGGGAGGGCGAAGGTGGTGAAGGTGGCCGACTCCAGACGCGTTAGCACAAGGCACTGACCCCCATGTGTGACGACACCAGGACAGCAGATTGTAGCCCAGGGCACGGCTTCTGGGGCCTCCTGGCCCTGAGGTCCTTGTTAGAAGCCTCAGGGCAAGTTTCCAGAACTCAGGACAAAGGTAGACACCAGGGTGGAGCCCCACTTTGGAGGGTGTTTTGGCAGCATCCTCTGACTTTACAGTGTGTCAGGGCGGGTGGAAGGTGTGGGCGAGGGGAGTTGGGGTGTCTAAAGCCAGCTGTGGGAGGCCACGTCACACTTGGCTCCCCTCCTGTGTTCATCCTCATAACACATTTCTTGGACAGATCCTTTGAGGTCACTCCTCTGTGCTTCCTTGTGCACTGGCTTTGGCCTCTCTGAGCTGTGGCTCGCTCGTCTGGGAAGCGATGGGGTGGAGGAGGTTGGATAATAAATCATACTTCACCCAGCCATCAGAATGCTACTCAGGCATTAAAGACCATGAAGGAGATCTCTATGTTCTGACATGAGAAGATGGCTACAATCAATCATTAAGTGGGAAAAAGGAAGTTGCACAGTAGAATTTATGGTCTGACCACATTTCAGTAAAATGAATTCATACATATGGTAGTATGTGCATAGAAAAATGTATCTGCCTGTAGATATTCCAGTGTTAAGAGGTTTTCTCTGGGGGTGGGAGGGGATTATAGTTCTGTAACATCAGTGTCCGGAGGCTGCATGGGGCCCATGTGCTTCTAGCTTCCTGCTCTTAAACACAGCCCGCCTCCCTGGGACTGGGCAGACACCCACCCAGCAAGCCCCAGAGCATGAGCCCCGGACAATTTCCACGTCCCTCGAAGGAGGTGGAGGCTCGAAGGAGATAAGAATCTCAGCATGGTGGCACTGGAAGGCACCGGGGGACAGTATGAAGCCCCGTTTTTACCTGTGAGGGGACTAACCTTTAGGGACAGAAGGAATCAGTGGTAGTGATGTGTCTTCCGGCCTCAGGGTGAGGGAGGGCGCTTCCACTGCACCTTCCACACGGTCTGGTCTGGTCTGGTCTTCCTTTCATCATTGGTTAACTGTGGAGATCATGGCAAGGAAGATCAGCTGATTTGCTCACACCAGCTCTTCTCTATCATCTGTTAAGATGATGACCCCCAGTACTAGAAAAGAACTTAAGAATATCCTTTGCTGGAACAGTCCCTTAAAATAAAGCTGCCACTTTCCTACAATTAGCGAAATTACCGTACATCCTGGGATAAGCATGAGAAAGTCAGAACTTGATGTTTTTGGACACATTCAACTCTCAGTTACCTGCACTTGGAAGTGATTTACAGGCCTGGTTCTGAGTGGGCTGCACCGCGTTCTGTTGCAGATTTACTGGAGCTCTGCACAAGTGATGCCATGATGGTGGGGCCCTGAGGTGAGGGAGCTAAGGAAAGCAGAGACTGGATGGGCTGGAGACCAGAGGGGGAGGACATTGCCTGTACAGAGCCCCTCCTGCCCCAGTCAAGTCTCTAGGAGTCCTTGGCAGTGTGTGTAGCGGTTGAGACCAGTGGCTCAGGGGCCATAGTGCTGGGTCCAAATCCCCGCCTCCTCCACTTTCTCAGGTCTGTGCCTCTGCATAAGGGGGAAAACAGCACCTACCTCATAGTGGTGTCAGGATGTAAGCCCTTGCTAACTGGTAAAGAGCTGTGGCTGTTTACCGCAGCTGGAGAGAAAGCAGAAAGAAGCTGTTCTCCCGTGGGCTTGGCGGGGGTCGCCGAGTTCGTTGCATTCTGCCCCTGACTCTTGTCTCCCTCGGTTTCAGGTGGGATGGTCCGTGGAGCCGGACCCAGGATGCTCCCGGGGTGTGGATGACCAGCCGCCCAGCCCCGCACGGCCCAGGCCCGGATGCCGCGCCCTTGTCTCCTGACCCGGGGACCCCGCCCGTCGCGGGACTGAGCTTCCAGAAGCCGCCGAGCGAGCGGCGACGGCGCAGGGACCCGGGGGAAGGGGCTCGGCGCCGGCGGGAAACATTTTCCCCCAGCGGCTCGGCAAGATGACCAGCCTGTTCCGCCGGAGCGGCGGGGGCGGCGGCGGCGGCGGGGGCGGCTCGGCGGCGGCGCGCGGGGCTGGGGGCAGCGCGGCCGCCTCGCAGGAGCTCAACAACAGCCGGCCCGCCCGCCAGGTGCGCCGCCTCGAGTTCAACCAGGCCATGGACGACTTCAAGACCATGTTCCCCAACATGGATTACGACATCATCGAGTGCGTGCTGCGTGCCAACAGCGGCGCCGTGGACGCCACCATCGACCAGCTGCTGCAGATGAACCTGGAGGCGGGTGGCGGCAGCGTCTACGAGGACAGCTCGGACTCGGAGGACAGCATCCCCCCGGAGGTAGGGGCACGGCCCCGATAATTCCCAGGAGCTCCAACAACTGTTTGAACCTGTTAGAGGACTTGGGTTATACTCCTGTCTGGGTTCTACCTAGCAAGCAGCCTTATTTCTCCTAGGGAAACGTACCCAAGTCAGCCCGTGGCCTTATTTTATGGGCAAAATTCATGCGGTCACTAAACAAACACTGAGCACTACTCCGGGGCTGTGCCAGGCACGGTACTAGACCCTGGGTCAGGGGTCATCAGAATGAAGGAGCCTGTTCAAAATGTAGACACCTGGCCCCCACCCCAACGTCCCGAACCCCACTTCCGGGCTGGAGCTGTCTGGTCTGTATTTTCTGAACCTCCAGGTACCCGCTAAAGCCAAGTCAGAGTTTCTGTCCCCACAGAGTTCACAGTCCAGCGAGGACTAGAGGCAGGTGTCAGGCAATGGCAGCCCGGAGGGGTGAGTGCTAGGATGGGAGAAATGGAAGCAACAGAGAGGAAGGGATGGCTTCCCAGAGGAAGAGTGAAGAGTGAGGGAAAGGTGTGTGGGCAGAGGGAACAGCTTGTGCAAAGGCTCAGAGGCGAAATAGAGCAGGAATGTTAGGGAACTGGCAGCAGGACCTTCTGTGAGGATCCTAGAGTGAGCAGAGACCAGGAGGCCTTGCGGTTGAGAAGGAGTGTGGTGTGTTCTGGAGCCTAGGGACCCGTGGAGGAGAGCTTGCAAGTTCAGTTCCTCTGACCGAGGCGCGAGCGATACCCAAGCAGTTCCCTCCTCTCTCCAGGAAGGTGGCTGAGGGCGAAGGGACCACCCCACTGCATCAAGGCCCACTTGCTGGGTGTGGCCAGGCCTCCTCGGCCCCTCCAAGAGCTCAGTAGATGTCTGAGCCCCCAGTCTCAGCAGGACGTGCAGTGCTGGGTGAAGAAGGGGCACTCAGAGTCTTTCAACGAGAGGGTCACTGCCCCACAGGGGCATCTGGGACATGCAGCCATGGATAGGACGGAAGGACCCAGCAGATCGGATTCAGCTCTGCTCTTCACTGAGTCCCAGCCTGGGCCAGGCACCATCCTACATGCTTTAGGTGTATCATCTCTTCGAATCTCATAAACTTTGTGAAGTGGCGTTATTATTACCCCCGTTTACAGTGGGAAACCTAGACCCAGATGTGGCCTCAGAGTCCTTCTCAACACAGCCCTGCAGGTGGCTATTCTCCGTTCATCAGAGTCACCCTGTAGGGCAAAGCCCGCTTGCTCTTCCTCCTATAGGGCTGCTTGCTGCCTGGGAGTTCTCTCTCCGGATGGAGGAGAAGCCCTGTGGGCAACGGCATCTGGCTCATCCCTGTGTCACGCGCAGCACCCGGGACAGTCACTGCACATAGCAGGCACTCGCGGAGTATTTGTTGAATGAATGAATGTTGCTGCTGTCTTTGCGCAGCTTTCTTTAGTCTCTTTCCCTGGGAGAGCACTCCTTGGCTCTGCCTGGATTAGCCAGTGGAGGGAGTTTTGGAAAAACCAGATCTTCTTTGTGAAAGGGAGGTGTGTGTATGTGCGCGCAGATACATCCTTTAAGTGTGAGCTGGAAGGAAAGTTCTCTGCAAACGCTGACCCCCTTCCACAGTCTCATCTGTTCTGACAGTCTGGCAGGTAGGATCATATTTCCTTCTCTGTTCATGGCACCCACAGCCCTGTGACCCTCCGCAAAGCTTGCCTGATGCCCTAGATGGGCCTGCATTGTGTGCGCGTCTGTTTTCCCAAGAATCTTGCTTTCCAGATTGAGCCCCTTCTCAGCACCCCTCCTTGGCTGTTTCCCCAACCCCCCATCTTTGGAGCTCTGCGTGGGCCCATCGGCAGGCGGTTCCTGAGCCAGCGGAAAGTGCTGCGGAAAATTTATGAGCAGCAGCTGGGATGACGATAACTGCTGACTGAAAAAGCCCCCTCTCTGGGGGCTGATGGATGGTGGGCTGGCCCGAGGGGTATCCTTGCCACAGAGAAATATCTCCTGTCAGATAAATGGCCCAGACCTTGGCCCCCAGAGCACCTGGCAGGCATCCATCACCCACATGGAGTTAAGCCAGGAAGCCACAGAACCAAAAACTTCAGCACCTTTAGAGCCAGAAGAACAGCCTCACTGTGGCTGGTGGGGGAGGGGGAGGGGGCGGGGCGGGGGGGCGGAGTCCAGAGACATGGCTGGGGTTACTTCTCCCTGGAGACTGGGGATCAGCCTTTCCGGAGCGTGCCTGGCCTGCTGTCTGCCTCCTTGGTGTTTCCTCATTCTGCTCCAGGAGCCTCTGATGAGCGTCTGGCTCTTGTAGCCCCAGGAGGCCGCGCTGAGGCAGGAGCGGCTGAGAGGGGAGGAAGCCCCCCTGCGCGGCTGTGGAGGCCCGATCTCTCTGAGCCCGAGGGGCGGCTGCTATGGGCCCCAGTCAGAGGAACCCCAAGCGGCTTCCTTCTGGGAGCAATTCCTCCTGAGCCTTCCCCTCCTCGCCCGTCTCGCACAGACCGGCTTCGGGGGGACGGTCCAAGCCAGCCACTGAGTGGGAGGGGCTCGGCCTACAGGCCCCAGCGTGGAACCCTGTCCCTTAGAGCACTTGTGTGCCGAGCACTGGAGGTTGTGCAAGTGTGTGTCAGTGAGCAGGGCTGGAGTTGACAGTGTTCTCTCTCTCTTTTTCTTGTGGAAATTTGGGGTAAGGAGAGCAGTGGCCCGAAAAGCAGCTGCATTCTTCTTTCTCTGCAAAAGCATGTTTAAGTACTTTGTGCCTCAAAGGAAAGAACGTTAGTGCATTCCAGAGCAGGAGGCCTCCGTGGGTCAGGCTGGCTGTACGTGTACAGAGCGTGGCAGTGTGTGTGTGCGTGCGCGCGCGCGCTCACTCACCCACCTGCCCACCCGCCGTGGTGTCCCTTTGAGACTGGGTGCCTGGGCATGGCTGGGCTCGGGCAGAGATGTGCAGAGGCATCTTAGCAGTGATTTCTGCAAATTCACTTGGGGTTCAAATTTTGGGCCAATTGACAGCCTCTGAGCCCTTCCCACATTCTTTGGTCTTGGAGGAGATGGGCACAGAGCTGGAGAGGAGGGCGCGGGGGTGGGGTTGTGTGACCTGGGCTCTCCAGGTTGATGGCTTCCTCCTGCTCCAGACTCCTTTGCAGAAGGGTTCAGGTCAGTCCATATGGCAGGAAGCCTGGCCCTTGCCCAGCCTTGGCTTCTCCTGCCCCTTTCTCTGGCTCCTGGATGAGGAGAGGAGGCCAAGAAAGAGCCTGGGCTCTCCCTTTGCTGCTGTCTGCCCTGAGAATCCAACCTGGGTGTGCAGGCATTGTGTCTGAATGAGGCAGTCTTGCTGTAGAGACCACATCTAAGTTAAAGACTCAGCTGTAGAAACAGTGTGTGGCTCTTGCCATGTTCATCGGTCAGCCTGGGCCTCAGTTTCCTCATCTGTAAAATGGGGGTAATGATCCATAGCCTACTTTGCCCAGTTGTTTGAGCTTCAGGTGAGATAATCGATGTGGAAGTACTTTGAGAGAGGGTAGGAATAAAGTTATTTATCAAAAGTAACACAGGGACAGAAGAGTCCATGAGCCACAAATATGCAGCTCGGTGAAGTTTCATCAGCACCTGGATCAAGAAACATCAACAGAGCCTGGAATCCCCCTTGTGCCCCTTCTCAGCCTTCCCCGCCCCCAGAGGTCACACTGCTCCACCTGCAATCCCTGTAAATTTGTTTTGCCTGTTTTTTACCCCCACGTGTTTATTTATTTATTTGGTTGCGCCGGGTCTTAGTCACGACAGGCGGGCTCCTTAGTTGCGGCTCGCCGGCTCCTTAGTTGCGGCTCGCCGGCTCCTTAGTTGTGGCACGCATGTGGGATCTAGATCGAAGCCAGGCCCCCTGCATTGGGAGCGTGGAGTCCTGACCACTGTGCCACCAGGGAAGCCCCATGTTTTGCCTGGTTTTGAACGTTACTCGGATGGCTAATGCTGCATGGAGCATCCCTCTGGGGAGAAGCGCTTTCACGTGTGCTGTGTGTGTCGGAATCGTGGGCTCAGAAGTAGCCCGTGTGCTGAGCGTTAGCGCAGGAAGCCACGCGGTTTCGCAGAGTGCTGGTCATATCACTTTACACTCCCACCAGCAACAGCGGAGCCCCCTTGCGACACCTCCTCGCCCACACTTGATTTTGTCTAAATGTTATTTAAATTCAAGGAAGGATTGTTAATATTTCTCTCTTTGTCGTCTCTGATACAGATTTTGGAAAGGACCTTGGAACCTGATAGCTCTGATGAGGAGCCCCCGCCTGTGTACTCCCCTCCAGCCTACCACATGCACATGTTCGACAGGCCTTACCCTCTGGCTCCCCCCACTCCACCTCCCCGGTAAGAATCCATCTCCTCTCAGAACGCAAGGCAATGGGGAAGGGGATCAGGGGTTGGGATTGAGTACCAACACAGTGGGAAACTTGACTGGACCCTTCGGTATACTATTGCACCAAGAACAGGCTTCTACTGCAGCAAGAGGCATTTTAGCTAGATACCAAAGGGAACTTTCAAACTGTAAGGATTGCAGGAGCAGACATCCGCTAAATTCCTGCTCCAGACTAGATGCTATGCTGAACGCTGGACAGGACATAGAGATAAACGATGCTCAGCCTTTGCTTTCTGGAAGTTTATAGTCAAGGGAGATGCAGACTGGGGATGACAAACGCATGGAATGTGTACTGACACTTCCCCGCCTGAGCCCATGGCAAACATTACTAATTGATCACTGTGTTCTTTCCTGCTAAGTTGAGACAGAACCTCAGAATCCTCCTCAAAACAGCACTCCCAGACAGTCATGAGTAACTGATGGGATGGATATCTATTTGCTATCCCTGTTCTAGGGATGTTGTGGGGATTTTTAAGCAATGGGAGCAAGTAAGTCTCTTTTTCTGGGGTAATTCGATAATTGGAAGCAGAAGAGTTAGGTCCCTGGAGACTTCGTCCAGATCAGGGACTCTGTAATTTGGAAGTTTAAAATGAAGCTAGTTGCCAGCTGGGTCCCTGGGTCTCTGAAGTGCTTGTTTTTCTGGGCTCTGTGTTTGAGGAGGGCCGTTGGAGCCCAGGTGCCTCTTTGTCCTGGAGCTGCTGGTCCTGAGAATAACTCAGGCCTGGGGTGGGGAGGGGTGTGGGGACATGATAGGACAGGGACCTTGTTCCAGTGGATCTTCCCTTCTGGGGATCTTGGGAGCCCCAGACAGTGGTGGTGGAGAACTCTGTGATCATACAGGTATAGATAATAATAACAGCTACCATTTACTAAGTGCCCTTCAAATGCCTGGAACTGACAAGGTCCTTTACCTGCGCATTCAAACCATCTGACAATTTGTGAGGTAGGCGCTGTTGCCATCCTCATTTTACACGTGAGGAAACTGAGCCTCAGGGAGGCTTCATAACTTCCCTGAGGCTACAGAGCTGGGACTCGAACCCAGGTCGTTTCTGACTCCAAAGCCGACAAACGCTCTTCCCTGCTGTGTCCTGTCATCCCCCTAATGAGAAACACCTCTGTGATTGCAGCTCAGGGAGCTGATAGAGGCCTAGAAAATTATGGGGGGGGGGGGGAAGCATTGTTTCGCCTCAGGGACAGGAGCAGAGCTGAGGCCCTCCATCACAAGTGATACCAGAGGCTGTAATGGGGCAAAGCAGGGGGTAAGTGGATAGGTCTGGGTGAGATCTTGGCAGGACTTGCAGCCCAGGATGGGTCATGATGCCCAGGGCTAAATGATTTTCCTTTGATATTTTTTTAATATCCCAAGATGCTTTTGCAAAAAGTTCAGTTTCTATTAGGCAGAATAGTTCTACCTATTTTTCAGAAGGGAAAACTGAGCCCATAAGAGACAGAATCCCATTGTAAACCTGGCATGGATATCCTGGCCGCATCCTCCCTCCCCTCCTCTGTGTATGGTGGGGTGAAGTAGGGCAGGGGTAGTGTAGCCCAGTGATGGGAGCCCCAGTTGGGGGCAAAATGACCTCAGCACTAGACCAAGGCTCAGGAGGTCTTGCTCATACCTTTGGATAAGTTACTGCCCTTGCCTCAGGTTCAGGGGCCTGACCCGGAAATGAAGGCTTTGCTGGCCTGGGGGTGGATACAGGGAAGAGAGCTTAGTTGTGAAGTCGGACAGAGGCAGAGCGTTCCCCCCGCCCTGCCTCGTTTAGCTGCCTAACTTGTGATTCTTGAGGTGCCTTTGGCTCACTGCTTAACTTCTCTGAGCTTCATTTGCCTCATCTGTGAAATGGGAATACTAATCCCCACCTCAGCACTCTTGTGAGGGTTGAACGAGGTATTGTGTGTGGGGCCGTTAGCACAGTGCCGGGTATGAACCAGACCTGTCACCAGTGCTTTACTGCTCCCTCCTGCCCCTGGCTGCACAGTGGGCCCCTGAGGTCAGCTCTGACAGTGAACATTGAGACCAGGGGTAAGGCTGCCCTCAGAGGCCAGCGCTCAGAAGAGGCAGGGCCAACCTCTGGGCACGTGCCCCTCTGCCCCGGGTTGGCCCTGCTAGGCCCAGATCCACCCCCAGCTCATTTCCAGGGCCTCATTCAGTCTCTCCATCCAGGACATGCATTTCCAGCATTTATGGAGTCACCTGAAGCATGTGTGATACAGAGATGAATACAGCCCCGCCTTGACCTCTCAAGGAGATCAGGGTCTGGGGGAGGCAGAGACGCGCGGCAGGGTGCAGGGAAGGCAGCCTAGAGGAACTGATGTCCAAGCAGTGAGCTGGTACAGCGGAGGACGGTAGGGCGCTCCAGGCAAAGGAAACCATGTGCAAGGGCCTGGAGGCAGGACAGAGGGCACCATCTGAGGGAACTCCAGGGAGTATGGAATGTCTGGGTGAGGCTGGAGGGGTGAGACGATCGTGGAAGCCCTTGAGGGTCCTCCAAGGAGCTTTGGCCTTATCCTCCAGCCAGGGGTTTAAGCTGGAGAGTGACGGGGTGAGGTTAGTGTTTGAGGAATCTCTCTGTGGCTGCTGGGGCCAATCAGATTTGAGTGGGGGGGTTGGGGGCAGGAATGGCCTGGCTCCCTTCTGCCACCTCCAGTCTCTGGGGTGCCTTTGAGAGTGAAGATGAAGAGGGTTTGGGAGCTGGCCCTGCTGGGGCACAGAGAGGCAGGCTGATCCCAGGGGAGCGTGCCTGGAATGCCAGGATTCCTGGGCCCAGGTTTTAGCAGGATGGTCTGTGTGCTCCAGGACAGGCCTGACCCCATCAGGGCCTCAGTGTCTAGTCTTTACCAAAAATCTTGCCTGGAAGGCTTGTTGCTGAAATCCTTCTGGGCTCTGATATCCTTTGGGTAAGCCTGGGGGTCTTATGGGGCATGCAGTTCTAGTTCTGGGGTCCAGAGAGCGCCCCCCCCCCCCCCCAAGCCTTCTCTCTCTTTCCCCTCGCCCAGCCTGTCCTTTCCTGAATGAATGACAGGCTCTGAAGGCCAGAGGCACCCCTCCTCACAGGCCACCTGCTGTTCTTCCATTGAAATTACAGCCTTGGAAGTTTTTTATTTGCCTCTCAGCTCATTTCTGACATTCCTTTCTGACCACAGTGGAGTTGCCTGGGCCGCCCGTGCTCAGTGTCCCCCTGGCTCTCACAGCTGTGGGCTGACCTCATCTCAGCCGGTGCCAGGGCAGGGGGCCGGGCCTGCCCCTCCTCCAGGACCGCGGGCCCAGCAGCGAGGGACACTCAGCCTTCTACTCCTCGTCCCCCCTCCCGACTTGGGTTTCAGTAACAAATGGCTAGAGGGGTCCAGCTGCAACTCCGGGGCTCCCTCTCCATGGCTTTCCTGGGTAGCTGTGGGTGTGATTGAGTTGGGGTGGGCACCCATGTCCCAGATGAAGACCCTGAAGCGGGAGGAAGGGTGCCGGGGTCGACCAAAGAAGGTCCTCGAGTCCCAGAGGGATGGGGTATCCACCCCCTTGACTCTCTGGCCCTTGGAGAAAAATGAAGCTGCCAACAGTGATAGGAGGTGGATGAGTGATGGAGCAGGAAAGGCGCCCAGGAATGGGAGTCCCGGGCCGTAAGGCAGGCTCTTCTCTGGACCATTCCTGCATCTGTGCAGTGAGAGGGTACCCGGGGTTCCTTGGCTCCTGTCTGAGTGCTGAGCTCCCACCAGGCATTTAGCGGCTTGTTATCCTGTCTGCTGCCGCCCCCGCCCTTCCCCCTCGGCCGCCAGGCCACCCGCCCAAAATAGAAAACGAAAGGAAGTTATTTCCATAGTCAGGGGCAGCCCGGAAAAGCTCCCCTCCAGTGAGGGGGCGGGCGGGATTCCTGGAGCTTGAGACCAAATCAGAGCCAGGCCCGAGAGAGAGTGGCTCCCGGCCCTCGGCTGCCTTCTCTGTGTGTCATTTCCCTGATTCAGCAGAACACGTGTCCTGCGGTTGCCACGCTGCAGGCTGCCGAGGAGCTGTGGGGAGCTCCTGGCCAGGCCCCAGGCCGCCCTCAGGCCAGGACGGCAGGGCGGGAGGCTGGGGGTCAGGGAGGCCACGTGCCAGGGTCTCCTTCCTCTCCTCTCCGCCTCGCTGTTGGCCTCCGCCTTGGCCCAGGGGAGCGGTTCCCCAGCGCCACTTGGAACAAGGACCCTTCCAATCCCACACCTCCGTGTGCCTTTTCAGCATGTTGTTCGAGACAGCCTCCCGAGGGGCTCCCACGCACCTGGGCAGGGAGACAGCAGCTTGTAGGAGACTGAGCCCCAGAGGGGACAGGGTCTCACCCAGGACCACGTGGCTGGCTTGTGGCTGCGCCAGAACTGGAGCCTAGATCCGCTTACCCTCTAGGGATCCTGGTGTCCTCATGTCCCCCGACCCTAGCAAACCAGCACTGGGGCGGGCTGGGCTGCTGGCAGCTCTGTGTCTGTTCACTCGGAGCACGCCTGGCACTCAGCAGCCAGGAGGAGCTGGCGTCATGCTAGGTGCTAGGGATAGAAGCGTGAAGGGCCATGACTGCCACATCCATGTCAAAATCCACAACACGCAATATGTGCGCCGGCAGCACAGAGCTCTCTAGGCCCAGAGGCCTTGAAGGCGCTGAGTAGCTGAACATCCAGTGCAGCGGAGCCCAGGCCCAGAGGCTGGGGGTCAGCCGAAGCCTGGTTGAGAAGGGGAGCTAGCGTGCTGGGCCTTTGTGCCAGAGGCAGCGGAGGCCACGGGAGACTCTGGAGCAGCAGTGCCAGTCTGAGCAGGATCTTGGTGTGATGGGCCAGGACACCTGTGTTTGGGCCTGACTCTTCCCTCCTCCTCGTCACCTCTCACCCTGCAGCATCGACGTGCTGGGCTCCGCGCCCCCTTCCGGCCAGAGGCGCTATCGGAACTGGAACCCCCCACTGCTAGGCAACCTCCCCGAAGACTTTCTCCGCATCCTGCCCCAGCAGCTGGACAGCATACAGGTAACGGAGGATTCCCCCGCCCCTGGCCCGTGCGGCAGCTCTGCTTGCCCACACCGTTCATGCCAGCCAGTGTCACTCCCTGCTGTTCAAGCCCAGGCTGAGCTATTTCTGTTGCCCTGGGTTTGTAGGGAAAGAACACTGAACCAAAAGCCTCATTTCCTCTCTGGGCCTGGAGGTTTCCTCTTCCACCCAGGAAGGTGACAGCCCTGAGGACGCTCCCTGGCTGCAGCCATCACCCCAGGCTGGAGGGAGGTGGGCAGGGGCGGGGGGTGGGGAGCTGTCAACAGCAGAGGACCAGAGCACCTTCCTTCCCTTCCCTGGGAAAGGTCCAGGGTGCTTCTCCCCAGAGGCTGGCCCTCTGCAAGGGGTCTCCCCTGAGACAGCTTAGACAGGGAGAGCTTTGAGTTTGGGGACCCTGAACAGTTCACAGATCACTCTTCAGGACTATTCAGGTTTTGATGAAGGAAAGTAGGGGGGGCGTCCAAGGTGGAGGAGGTGGGGAGTACTTTTTAAGCCCTTGCTGCTTCCTCAGCAGAGAGGGCTCTGGCCTGTTAAGTTAGGTAGGAGGTGCTGGCCGCAGGGTGCGGCCACAGCATCCTGGGAAGGACACGTGTACCCCCAGGTGCGCGTGGATGTCTGTGCAGCGTGCGTCCTTGTGAGTAGGCGGTCCACATGCTCGCTCCCCTCCTCAGGCTACCTCCGGGGGCTCCAAGCCTGCGATCACAGAGGGAGGCCGGCCCCTCACGGCCGGGCCCGGACCCCGGGACCAGGAGAACCGCTGGAAGCAATACCTGGAGGACGAGAGGATCGCGCTCTTCCTGCAGAATGAGGAGTTCATGAAGGAGCTGCAGCGCAACCGCGACTTCCTCCTTGCCCTGGAGAGAGGTGGTGCCCCGGGTGGGGCGCTGCGGCCGCTGCTGCATGGCTAAGGAGGGGCTGATGTTGGCTTTAGCCTTGGAGCTCGGGGTGGCCTCTGTGCTGTTGAGTTATTCTGGTGGGAGCCCCAGAATTCTGCCAACAGGGACCTGAGTCACCAGCCACCGCTTCCCTCCTCTGGAACTCAGAGAGAGAGAGGGGTGCCCTTCCCTTGCTCCCCTGCCTGTCTGCTCTGTGCCGGGCACTGGCTTCGGCACCGTATGTCTGGAGCTCCAGGAATAGAGTGATTGGGTCCGTGGGTGCCTCCCTGAGCAGAGGACATTAGAGCAGGGGCTCTTGAGTTTTTTGGGTGTTTGAGTTGTCCTTGGGCCCAGCACTCTACTGCCCCCAGCCTGGCTGCCTTCCCCCTTCAGGGTGGGAGTGTTTGATGGGGGTACAGCGAGGGGCCTGTGGGAGAGGGGTGTGTGTGTGTGCGTGTGTGTGTGTGTCTGACTGTTTTGGGGGAGGGAGCACGGTGTGCAGGGAGAAGTCTGGCCTGAGACAGAGGAGGCCCAAGGCTGGTCCCAGCTCTGCATTAAAGGTGCTGGGGGTCTCGGGGTCTTTCCTTTTTTTTTGCGGTACGCGGGCCTCTCACTGTTGTGGCCTCTCCCGTTGCGGAACACAGGCTCCGGACACGCAGGCTCAGCGGCCATGGCCCACGGGCCCAGCCGCTCTGCGGCATGCGGGATCCTCCCGGACCGGGGCACGAACCCGCGCCCCCTGCATCGGCAGGCGGACTCTTAACCACTGCGCCACCAGGGAAGCCCAGGGTCTCTCCTTTTAAATGAAGGGCTGGACTGTCTGACTTCCCAGGGTCCTTCTCATTTTGACATTCTGACACTGCAGGTTGTCAGGGCAGTCGTTTCCGAATCTTTGAGAGTTCTGGTTCTTTGAGAGCCCGTAGGCGTCGTGTGTGCATGTGTGTGTGTGTGATTCTGGGGGTTTGGCCTCTAACAACCTCCTGCATCTCAGCGCAGGCTGCCCCTGGGTGGGAGCTAACTTCCCCAACCAGAATGTGGTCCTTTTCCAGATCGATTGAAATACGAGTCCCAGAAATCTACATCCAGCAGCGTAGCTGTGGGAAATGACTTTGACTTTCCCGCTCCTGTCCCAGGTAACCTTGCCTTCCTAAGAGAGAGGCCTGGAGGGTGTAGGGGGCTCACACCCCGGCTGTGGTTTGCATATTTGGAGTTTGGGGGTAGGCTGAGGAAACAGGCTGGTGGGGAGGTTTCTCCCTCTTCTCCATACTCGCCGAGAGGGAGATGGCCCCTCCACTCAGCAGCCCCGGGTTCTTACCAACCCAGCGGCTGCGGCAACCCACACCCGGGATTGGCCAACGGGCTGGCTGAACTCCTTGGAGGTGCCTGGAGCACGGGCAAGAAGGGGACACACCACACCACGTAATGTCCCACGCGGTGTCGGGGTTGGGGTGGCAAGGGACTCAGAGACTGGGTCACTGTCCGGGGGGAGCTTATGGTTTTACTGGGAACAAACACTGGAGATGCATCCAAGAAACAGGCAGAATGAAGCAGCAAGGCTGAAGACACACTTGTTAATTATGGCAAAAACATGTTGGCGGGGAAGGGCAGGATCAATCTGGGAAGAGTTCATTCATTCATTCAGTACCTGGGGAACATCTGCCACAGGCCAGGCTCTGCCTTAGTGTTGGAGGAATAGAATTGGAAGCTTCATGTCCAAGGTGGTGAGAAGCAAGAATTGCCTCAGTGGCTGAAGGAGGGCCAGGGGTGGACAGCAGGCTGCTGGGCCGCACGGACGAGGGTCAGGCTGGAGCTGGGGACACCCTGAAGTTCCCGGTTCCATACTCGACATCTGGACTCTGCCTGTGTGTGTGCACAGTGGCCCCTGGTCAGCCAGTGCCCACCACACACACACAGGCTGCCCGCCTCAGAGGAAGAATCCGCAGCTCTTGCCCGAAACAGATCTTACATCGCGTGGTAGACTGGGGGAGGGGGGCAGAAGGATGGGGAGCTCAGCTGATCCCAGCTTGAAGACAGAAAATCCTGTCCAACTGATTCATAAGCGACAGGCTGGGGGCTTAGGTCCCACCAGATGCGCATCTGGGGGTTTAACAGCAGCCTCTTGTCCTTGATCCCAAATTAATCATAGACACCGGGACCGCTGAGGTGGATCAGAATGACTCACAGGGACTTAGCAGGCAAGGTGACTCGGGATTAGCGTGGGAGCTTTAGAAGGGCAGTGAGGGACCCAAGTGGGTGCTGAGCGAACGGGGAGACTCGGCGCACCATGTCAGGACGCAGGCAGGCTGGCCACGTGCTGGTGAATGTGTAACAGCCTGTCGGGGTGCAGGGGAAGCCCCAGTGCTTAGCATCTGGTAGCTTCCATGGTGTAAACACTCCCATCGTGGCTGATTTCAAGCTACCAAAGGGCCTTCACGGAATGCAGAGTGGTCAGAGGAACGGACAGTCGGAAGCCTGCGGGAGCCGGCCCTCCACACATACAGACCAGACCACTGACCCTTTTTACAGAAAAGGGGAGAGTGAGGCTTGGGTGGGGAAAGAAATGCTCCTTGAACCCCTGTGTCCTCCTTGCTATAAGCTCCCTCCTGGTTAGGGCGGAAGCCTGCTCTTTGCTCCCTTCCTCAAGTGGAAGGGTGGGGCTGAGCCCCTGTCCTGTGGGGACAGCCCTGACCCCCCTCCCCGGGCCTTGGGCAGCCACTGGCCCTCAGAGGTGTCTTCCCCCTTCCAGGAACCAGCGACAACAACTCCGCTGCGTCTGAAGATGCCTTATTCAGGGACAAGTTGAAACACATGGGAAAATGTGAGTCCAGCGCACGCCCCCTCCCCAGCTCTTCTAAGGCAGGCCTGTGGCCTCCTGGGAGGGAGGGAGCCACCCGGAATTTTAATGCAGCTGACTCTTGGTGAACCAAAGTGACATTTTAATCACGGGCTGGCTCCCTCAGCTTTCCTGCCTCACTTCCCTGTGCAACTCAGTCTGGATACAAATTAAGTTTTAAATCCTCTTGAGCCATCTGTCTGCAGAAAAATAATAATGTGCTGGACACCGCGCCCCCCTGCCCCCCGCCGTTTTAGAGTTCACATTCTCTGTGGCTTGAGGGGGCTTGGCCAGGCCGGGCCTGAGTGGGGAGGCCCAAGCTAAGTCCACGTTCTGTGGGTGGGCGGTCCACCGGGTCAGTGGCCCCTTCCCACAAAGTCCTGCCAGCCGGGTCCCGCCTTCCCCTCCACCCCACCCCCCAGACACACAACCATGCGTGAATGAGGCTGCCATCCTTTCAGGCTCCATTTCAGAGAAAATCTCGGATTAGTCATGGAAATCCCAGAACCAGCCCTGGAGGTGGAGAGGGGAGAAGGGGAGGTGGCAGGAAGAAAGCCAAGATGCGAAGCCGTCTGTCACAGCTGGGGAAGGAGGAGCGCCCGGATCTCAGCCGCTGGCTGCGGTCCCTGGCCAGGCTCTCGGTGGCCTGTACTGCCTCTGCCGGCCGACCCAGGACGGCAGCCTCGCTCCGCCAGGGCACCAGCCTGACCCCGGTCTGCGATGGCTGTCACCTCTTCCCCTCCCCGACCAGCCTGCCCACCTGCCCCAGTCCTGGGGGGCAGCTACCTGCTGCTCTCGCTGCCGGCTCACAGGTCTCTCTGCCCCTAGCCACCCGGAGGAAGCTGTTTGAACTGGCCAGGGCCTTCTCGGAGAAGACCAAGATGAGGAAGTCAAAGAGGAAACACTTGTTGAAGCATCAGTCGTATCCTTTCCAGCCTGGCACTGGGTGGCAGTGGTGGATGCTAAGGGTGCTGAAAACCCTGGGCTGGACTCCCTGAGGCTGCACCCTTCCCGCAGAGTGGGACCGGGCCATGTGACGCTCCCCTCTCCCACCCTGGGCCCTGCTGCCAGCCTGGCGCTGCCCTATTTCTTTTTTTTTTTTTTTTTCCGGTACGCGGGCCTCTCACTCTTGTGGCCTCTCCCGCTGCGGAGCAGAGGCTCCAGACGCGCAGGCTCGGCCGCCATGGCTCACGGGCCCAGCCGCTCCGCGGCAGGTGGGATCTTCTTGGACGGGGGCACGAACCCGTGTCCCCTGCATCGGCAGGCAGACTCTCAACCACTGCGCCACCAGGGAAGCCCTGACTTATCTCTTGACACCAGTGTTGACTCCCATCACCAGGCATGGGGAACAGGCCAGTGTAGGCCCCCTGTAGGCTCAGAAGTTGTCCTACCACTTTTTAACTTTTTGTCTGGGGTAATCTGTGTCTTGAGAGAAAACTTCGTCCTTCCATGGAAATAAGCAAACCTTTTCCTAATTTCTTTTTTTTTTTCTATAAATTTATTTATTTTATTTTCTTCATTTTTGGCTGCTTTGGGTCTTCGTTGCTGCATGCAGGTTTTTCTCTAGTTGTGGAGAGCGGGGGTCACTCTTCGTTGCGGTGCGCGGGCTTCTCACTGCGGTGGCTTCTCTCGTTGCGGAGCACAGGCTCTAGGTACACGGGCTTCAGTAGTTGTGGCTCGCGGGCTCCAGAGCGCAGGCTCAGCAGTTATGGCGCACGGGCTTAGCTGCCCCACGGCATGTGGGATCTTCCTGGACCAGGGCCCGAACCCGTGTCCCCTGCTTTGGCAGGCGGATTCTTAACCACTGTGCCATCAGGGAAACCCCCCTAATTTCTTAAGTTGAATTGATCCACAGACCTTTCCACCTCCTCAATTCACGTGTTGGCCCTGCCTTCTCACTCTTAGTTCCTCCAGTAAAAATATGGTTTTCCACAATTTTACCCAGACTTCCATCCATGCTTGTCAAACAGGGCCCAGGATATTATTATAGAAGCTGAGCAGCCAAAGGAGAACAGGGAGAAAGTTCCTTCTCTGTCCCCAGAGATGGGAGCCGGGGGAGAGAGTCAGCGCCTGGCTGCTCAGTTGACCCCAAGAAAAGGAGCCTGCGGGAGGTATTGGGGAGTTTGGGGGGATAAGGCTGGTGCGGTGAAGGCCTCCTGAGCTTGGGGTGGGGGTGGAAGTCCAGGGACAGGGAGTGCCCACCCATCCCTGGGACAGTTTTCCTGAATGGCCCGGCAGACTGGGGGCTGCGGCATCAACAGCCAATCTCCTGGACGACGTGGAGGGCCACACTTGTGGTGAGGCGGGGAGGGCAGGGAAGTCGGGGCTCTGAGTTGCCTGTGATGGGTGGTCCTCCAAGAGGAGGGCCTGGGTGTTTCACAGGTGAACCCAGACTGTAAAGGAGGGGACACCGAACCTGGGGGACATATCAGGGTTGGTGGGAAGGCGACCCAAGGAAATGGGTCCCCCTCGTGACTTGGTCCATATTGCCTCTCCCTTCCACTCCTGAAAAGGGGCCCAGCCACATCTCCACCTAAATCTTTACTTGGAGCACAAAGCACCGAGTGCTGTTTCTGGGGAATATTCTCTGGGGACAGACAGGCCCACCCACATGGAAGGGCCTCCCCTTGAGAACCACGCGCTGGGCAGTTTCAGTGTCTGGGGCCCAGAGGCCTTCCAGCGTTCATGCAGTCCCTCCCAAAGGCGTGTGGGCCAGCAGACACTGCCTCAGACCTTCCGAGGCCCACAGCTGAACCCTGATCCTCAGGCCTCAGAGCAGAGGAGCCCTTTGGTGGTCAGGAGACATCCAGAAACAAGGGCTAGAAGGGCCTTGGAGGTCATCTGGACAGTCCAACTTCCCCATCTCATTTTATAGATGAGGAAACTGAGGGAAGAACTTGTCCAAGGCCTCAGAGCTCATCGATAGAGACAGAGCAGCAGCCAGGGGTCCTAACCCCGCACCGTGCCCAGTTGCCCCTCACCAGACCCGCGCATCGCTCCCGGGGATCAGCGTGTGCCCCGGCAAACAAGGGTGGAGAGAGTTGGCTCATCTGTCTTGCCCAGCCTGGGAGACGTGTCTGAGTGAGGCCCTGCAGGGTGGAGGGTGAGGTGCTTTCCTCTGCTTTTCAGACGAAGACTTCCGGGGAAGGCGACAGGAGGTGCCCAAGGTGGAGGAAGCACTAAGGGAAGGACAGTAAGAGGTAAGGTGCAGGACTGCCCTGCCCCACACTCCGGAGGGTGGTCTTCCCCGTGGTCCAGAGGCATCAGGCTCAGGCAACTAGATGGCGCAGGTCCGGGGTTTTTTCCCTTGTTACGGCGGGGGGCGTGTGCATGGGGGAACCAGTGTTTTGCGTTATTTATTCATTTGACTGAAGATAATCACACCTGCCTATGCCAGATGCTAGGAACAGGAAGAGAAAAACCAGCTTTGACCTTGAATAGTTTACAACACAGTTGAGAAGAGAGTCCAGGATACACACAGCACACTAATTTAAGAAAAACTGAGATGGCCTCACCCGGCCATGTCCACACAGAACTCTGCCATTGCCTCGGGTTTTGGTGGTGGGGAAGATGAGGGAACGGCCCCTCTCAAGACAGCTCTGTTTCTGGCTGGAGCCATGGGCCTCCAGGCTGCTTTTCCTCCTCTATCCCAGTGCATCCCTGGGGAAGAAACAGGGAATGTCAACACCTCCTCCGGGGTCAGGGGAACCTGTCCCTCTTCCAGCCCCTCCCCCATCAGGAAGCTGCCTGCTCACCCTGCCCCCAGCCGCTGTCCTGGTCCCAGGGGTCAGCTATCTACAGGGCTTTTTTTTTTTTGCGGTACGCGGGCCTCTCCCGTTGCGGAGCACAGGCTCCGGACGCGCAGCCTCAGCGGCCATGGCTCATGGGCCCAGCCGCTCCGCGGCATGTGGGATCTTCCCGGACTGGGGCACGAACCCATGTCCCCTGCATCGGCAGGCAGACTCTCAACCACTGCGCCACCAGGGAAGCCCTACAGGGCTTTCTTGAGCTCACGGTGTGGCAGGTATGGCCCTGTTTCAGGCTATGGAGAAATACTTGCTACCCTCAGGGTAACTGTAGTGGAGGGGAGAAACCAGGGTGGGGAGGACACAGCCAGGAAGAGTACAGGCGCCCTCTCCCCTCAGCCTGGGCGGCTGGCCTTCATGTCACCTCTAGTTGACTCGCCACCCTCCACCAGGCCCTTCCAGACCTCTTCTGTTCTCTCAGGCTCTCCTCACCCATGTTGCTGCACCCAGGCTTCCCAGGTATCCGGAATGCTGAAATAAAGCCAGCCGAGGGGAGGACCCCCGCCTCCCGTGCAGTGTCGCTACCACTTCCTTCCCACTGGTCCCCCGGGAAATGTGCTGGCCCAAAGCCACCCCTTATCAGGACCTTCCTCATCATTTCTTTCTTTCCTGAGTCTTCCAGCTTTTCCCTTTCCTTTCTCAGGTCTACATCCTCCTCGTCCCGTCTTAAAAACCAAGAGTCCTCAATATTTTCCATCATCACCCAGTTTGCAGAAAAGTGCATCCTCCTTCACCCATTGCCAGCTGGCGCCCCCACCCCCACCCCCAGACTGACTCAGGATCACCTGCCAGGTCCTGGGCCTTTTCCTGTTCTGCATCCTCTGGTGCTGTCTCTGCACGCCATGCCCATCGTCTCCCCTGAAACTGCCCTCCCTTGGCACCTGTGGCCCCAGGAATCCTGGGTCCCCTTTCTCTCTGCCGTTGATTCTCTGTGCGCTTTGGGCTCCCGTGGCTCCTTCCACTCCCTCAATCCCAGCTCTCCCCGTAGCTCTGGGCTTGACCCTCTTCAAAGTCTCCTTACTCCCTCTCCCTAGCGGTGCCACCAGCCTCTCTTACAGCATCAGCAATACTTTTGTGCAGTTGGTTCCCAAATCTGAATCTCCATCTTAGTTCTCCAAATCCACTCCACGGCCCCAGCTGTGCCCACGATGGTCTTTCTAGCCCTGGCTGTCAACTCACTGAAAGCTAGACAGTCCCACCTCTGATTTCCCCATTTCGTTTCTCTTCTTTACTCCTCGCATCACTGCCCTGGCAGACTCTCATCACCTGGTTAACAGCTGCTGGTCTCTTCACTGCCCCTGCTCTGTTCACCCATCGCCAGGACAGCACTATAGTTCCATTTCTCCCTTGCTCTCTGAATGGGTCTTCCAAGCGAAGGCTCCTCAGCTTGGTGTGGGGGGTCCCACCAAATTCTGATCCCATTTTACTTTTCTGCCCCTACAGGTGCCCTTGGTGTAGCTCAGCTGGGCTACTGCTGTATCACAGAACAGGCCAGGCACCCAGGCACACCTCTCAGCCCTTCACAGACAGCTGCTTCACCCCACCCGCCCCACTCCATCTCTAGCTGCCAGAGTCCCTGCTGTTTTGCAAGTTGGAATGTTTCTAGGAGCTTGGATTGGTGGGTGTGACCGCAGGCAGAGTTCCAAGGCTGACATAGAGTCCCTGGGGGAAGGAGAAGCCTCCTGTCTTTAGAAGCTTCTGCCCAGAACCATCTCTCCAGGAACCAGTGGTGAGGAAAGACCCCTGGGCTCCACTGAAAAAGACTTCTCCCATCCCTTTTTCCTGCCAGATGCAGCAGTTTCTCCTCGCCGGAGACCATCTGACCCGGTAGAGGCAGCCACAGAGCAAACCGGCCCTCCGCTGAAGAGCCCAGCTGCAGCCGGACGGAGGGTGCTTGAGTTCTGAGGCCCAGTGGTTCTCCAGCCACAGTCCAGCCCAGCCACTGCCACTGCCACTTCCCAAGGGACTTAGAACTTCGGAGTTGCATGCTGTGACTGGAGGAAGGGCCTGAGGGTGGAGGCAACAGCCAACCACAGTCCCTTTCGTAGCCAGGCTGTTCTGTGGGGAACGAGTGGAAATGTAGGATCTAACCCCTCTTCTTAAAAAAAACAACAAAAAAAAAAAACAAAAAACCACCCAGAAAACTGGCAAAGGTTGGAGTACCCAAAAGGGGAGGATGATCCTACCAGAGGCTCGTTGGCCTGAAGGTGGAGCCCCTGCCCACCTCTCGTCCTGGTCTCTCCTGTCGGGCCACAGACACTGCCTGATCCCATACCCCCATCCGCAGCTCCCTTCTGGGCACCTAGGGTCCTTTATTCCCATGGCCTTCTGCATCTCAGTCTTTCCCCAGGGGTGCTGGTCCTTGGCACTCCCCTGCACGGAGCTCTGGGTGAGAAAGCCCTGGGCAGTCACTCGGGCCCGCTCTGAGGAGTGATGGGCCACCGCAGGGAGGTATCTGCTGAGTACCCTGCCTGGGCCCCTCGGGCTGCCTCTGTTAGGGGCTGGCAAGGGCCCCCAGCAGGGATGGGGAGGCTGGCCACCCCGGAGCTGGTGGATTCTAGCTAGGCAGGGGTAGTGTTTACTCTGACAGAAGACAAAAGTCAGTCCTGGATGGGATCCTGTAGTCCCACGACAGTGGGGGCTCCAGGGGCTCTGACTCCCCAGTTGGACTAGAAGTTCTGCTGTCATTAAGGGTGGGCAGCGGCCAGTTCTTTAGTAACCCTGAGAAGGTGCAGGACTGAGGGGCAAGAAGGAGAGGCTGCCAGCCGGGCCAGAGCCTCTGGGGCAGAAGGGCTTGCTGGGTGCCCCTTGCCAAGAGTGAGAAGGCAAATGGCCAGGAGGAAAACAAGGGTCCTACGAACCTGACCCGGCACCAACCACTGCCAACGGGAGGGAGGGAGGGAGGGAGGGAGGGAGGGGCAGCCGGGCTTCCGTGGCCCAGCTGGAGGCGGGAAGGCGCCGACCTCGGGAGAACCGGGGAGCCCGGCAGGCACGGGGCTAGGGCCCGAGCGGGGAGCCAGCCCAGCGGCACGGCGGTGGGGCGTTGGGAGCGGGCGCCAAGCCTGGCGGGGCTTGGTGGCCGTAAGCCACCTCGAGATAGTGAGGGCGTGGCGGGCTCCCCGCGGTGCCGGAGGGGGACCCTGGCCCGGCTCAGCCTCCCGAGCCAGTGCGGAAGTGCTGCCGCCCTCCAATCCCCACCGGCCCCCAAGGGCTCCTGATGACCGGGCACAGAAGAGGGGGAGCGCCAGTCGCCCCCCACCCCCCGTCCGTGTGTGTGGCTTTGTCCGTTTTTTTGTTTTTGTTTTTTCTCCTGCGTGTGGGTTTTATCTTGGAGCAGTTTCATAGGAATTCGTGTAATAAAGACTTGGTGTTGTCTTGGTGCTCTGACGTGGCGGCGCGTGGGCTGACCCTCCTCTTCGCCTCCCCCTCCCCGCGGCACCCCGCGCCCGTGGGCCGCCTGCCCGGCCCGCCCGCGGGGCCCCGGGGCTCGGCATCCCCGCAGCGCCCCTCAGGTGGCCCCTGTGCCGCACCGCAGCCTCGCCCACCTGCTGGCGCTGTCCGCCTTCCGGTTTGCCTGGGAAAGTGAGTAAACCGCTTGCTGACAGGCCAGGGAAACACCAGTCTGTTGCGAGCGCTCCAGCCGGTCACCTTCCTAAATAAACAGAAAGCTGCCGGAATAACGTCTCGCCTGGAGCTGCGGGGATGTGCAGTGTCAGGCTTCAGAGGGCCCGCAGACATCTTCCAGTTCAAACCCCTCTCGCTTTCCCTACTCCCAGGCTTCGGTGAACTACCTCCCGCGCCAGGGAGCTCACTGCCAAAGGAGGAGGCTGGTGCCCTTTTCAGACAGGGCGGTTTTCAAGGTTAAAAAGTTCTTCCTGGTGTTGAGCTGTGGGCCTCCTTGTGGCTTCAACCCACACAACTTATTTCTGGGCTCCGAGTCACCCAGGCCAAGTCACTGCTTTTCCTCTGATGCCATGATTTTTTGTTTGTTTTTAATATTTATTTGTTTATTTTATCATTTACTTGGCTGCACCGGGTCTTAGTCAGGGCACGCGCGGGACCTTCGTGGTGGCATGAGGGATCTTTAGCTGCGGCATGTGGACTCTTAGTTGCAGCATGTGGGATCTAGTTCCCTGACCAGGGATCGAAGCTGGGCCCCTTGCATTGGGAGCATGGAGTCTTAGCCACTGGACCGCCAAGGAAGTCCCCCCCCCCCCCCGTCCCCATGCCATGTTTGAGTTCAGTGGCCTTTCTCCTGGATAAACAATGCAGGTTCTTCCTGCCTCCTCTACAAAAATGTTCTGCCCCCACCCCTGCCCTGCCCCTAGCCCAGGTAGACCCAGGTGGGCTTGTAAATTGACGTACCTGGACAGCTGGTGATGCTCCAGACCTGGAGTTTGGACCTCAGCAACCCAAGATTATCCTCTCATCCCTGCTCTGTGCGTTCTTTACTGATGATAGCTGTTGATCAGTGTAAATCCCCCCACCGCCAGCATAGCACCAGCACCTGGGACCTTGTTAGAAATGCCAATTCTCAACCCCACCCCAAACTGAGTCAGAAACTCTGGGGGTGCAGCCCAGCAGTCTGTGCTTCTGATATGCACTGAAGTTTGGGAGCCATGGTGTTCGGTCAGTGCCTAGTACTGGCTGCAGAGCAGAATTACCAGAGTAGTTTAAAAAATCTTGATGCTCAGTACCGTAGACCAATTAAACCAGCAGTTATAGGTTGGTTTCTTTGAAAGCGCCTCAGGTAATTCAAGTTCACACTCAAGTTTGCAATCAAGTTTGAGGACCAGCACGCTAAGCAGTCTGTTAGGTGTTTCATATTAGCCCGATTCATCTTGCCCAATAATGGCCACTTTACAGATGATGCAATGACAATTCAGAAAGGTTAAGTAAGTTACCTAAGAGCTAGCAAGGTGTGAAGTCAGAAAAGGGGCCAGGGCTGCCTGACTTCAAAACCTGTGCTCCACTCTCTATACCCCTGCTGCTCAAAGTGTGCTCTACGGACCAGCAGCATTGGCATCACTTGTGAGCTTATTAGAAATGAATGTTATCAGGCCCTGCTCCAGACCTCCTGAATCCGAACTTGGGGTGTATTTGAACAAGGCTTCCAGATGATTCTGATACGTTTGAGAACCACAGTTCTACTACCTTGCTACTCAAAGTTTGGTCTGCAGACCAGCGGCATCTATATCATCCGGGAGCTTGTTAGAAACAGAATTCCCGGCTCTGCTCCAGACCTACTGAACCAGAATGTGCATTTTAAAAAACTCCTCCGTTGTCTTCTGTGCACAGTAAGGTTGAGAAACACTGGTTCTCAAACTTGCTGCACACTGGAATCATCTCTGTTGCTTGGTCCCGTTCCCAGAGATTCTGGTTTAATTGATTTGGGATTTAGCCTGGGAATCAGATCGTAAAAGCTCCTCGGGTGATTCTAATATGCGGCAAAGTTTGAGCACCACTCACTATTATGCCTGTTAGTGTAGATGAAGCTGTAGGTGATCGGAACCAGAGAGGGGGGTGCGGGGAAAGAAGGCAAAGAAAGCTTACCAGGTCCAGCTCCATGATGAGTCCCTCCCAGTTGAACAGTGTGTAGAGGACCCAGGAAGGAGTCGGGCTGGGTCAGGTGACTGCCTCAGCCACCCACCCTCACACCATGCCCATCTGCAAGCCCTGGGCTCTTGGTATCCACAACGTGATGCTCGTAGATTTGTCTTCTGCAAAAATGCTGAGCTGGGCTATCTGGAGTCTGGTCCAGCCAATGCCCCTCCCCCCTTTGTATGCTTTGGTGTCCTCAGGGCTCAGTCCCAGCTTGCTGAGGAGCTCATGGGGCTGGGGAATGCTGTGCCCAGAAGAACTGGCCTGGTTATTACCATGCTGGGGTCTCAACCCTCCCTCTGTTCTCCTGAAGCAACTGGTAAGGGGTTGAGGTTGGAGGAAACAAAGGAGAACTTGGTTTGAAGCAGGCAGGGAAGGTGTGGGACGATGATGCTGAGAGCTGCTTATCAGTGCTTACTGTATGTCAGTCACTTTTCTGGGGTGCTTTACAAACATTATTTTATCCCACAACTATTGTATGAAATCAGTATTTATACTGCCATTTCCCAGATCAGGAAACTGAGGCCCAGAGATGTTAACGTCCTTACTCAGTATCACCGTCAGTAAGTGGTAGTGCCTGAATTTGAACCCAGGCAGCTGAACTCCAGAGCTGGTGCCTAAACACTAAGCTATATATTGGGGTGGCGGGAACAGGTGATAAGGCTTAGAACCCCTGCATAACTGCAATTTGTAGAGCACGGAAAGGTCCACCTGCTTAAAAACATCTTCAACAGCATGCCCGGAAGTCATCTATTAGCATTCTTTATCTGATTTTAAAAACAATCTTAGCATTTCCATTAAATGGCAAATATGCTGCTGAGAGCCGCACATGAACCCCTTTTGCCCATTATCACAGCATAGATTAATATTCATTGGATTAATTGGCTAGACCAGCTGGAGAAAGATTTGGAAGTTTCTGGAGTTGATGGTGGGGCGAGGGGGTGGGTTGGGGTGTTGAAGGGGGCTGTGTAGATCTACTGCCACCTGGTGGTGGTCTCTCAGAAGCGGCAGTTGCTGGTCACCGAGGGGCCCAAACACCATGTTCCCAGAAGGAAGACCAGAGCACCTGTGTGGCCTGAAGCCAGACGAGGAAGTTTACTCTGTTCACATGGTCTTCTGTTTGGTAAAATTTGCAAAGCAAGGATATTTTTGTACCATTTTCTTAAAAGGGCCATTGAGATTACATAAGCTTCAGGCCCCACAAAACCAGCATCTACCTGGCCTGTCATTTCTATAAAGAGTCACAGTCCTTTATCAGGCCAGGAGGATTATTCCAGGGACTCTGCAGGGAGGAGTTGTGAAGCTCAGTACAAACTCAGCACGAGCCTGTCTTGCTCTGACCTTGCCATTCAAAGCGTGGTCTGTGGATACGGTAACCAACTGTTCTGGTTTTCCAGGACGGAGTGGTTTCCTCGGATGTGCGGATGTGGAACTTTCAATGCTAAAACCAGGAAAGTCCGTGGCAAACTTGGGTGAGTCGATTACTCTATCTGCAGACCAGCAGTATTGGCGTCAGCCTGGAAGTTTTTTTAGAAATGCAGTTTCAGGCCTCACCCCAGAACTACTGGGTCAGAATCTGCATTTTCCAAGAACCCCATGACCTTCAGGTACACATTAAAGATGGAGGGCTCTGCCTCCCCCAAGAAAAGAAGGGCCTACCCCAGCGCCCCGAAATGTGTGCCTGCAAGGGTCTCATCTTCTGCTGGGAAAACTCCACAGCGTGGTTCCCACTGGACTTTAATTCTGATAACAAAAGGCCAGACCTAGCTGGCTCCTGTTTCCTTGGCTACAACAAGAGCCACAGTGATACAGACCACCCAGGGCAGGTAGGCACAAAGTGCTTCTCTCTCCTCTGCCTGAACTGGATTCTCCTTGGGGGCAAGGCTGCTGTTTGCTGAAGAAATGAATGGGCAGCCATGTGAAAATGCCTTGAGGGAATTCCCTGGTGGTCCAGTGCACAGGTCTCCACATTTTCGCTGCTGAGGGCCTGCGTTCAATCCCTGAAAAAAGAAAGAAAGAAAGAAAGAAAGAAAGAAAGGGAAGGAAGGAAGGAAGGAAGGAAGAAAGAAAGAAAGAAAATGCCTTGAAAATTGTTAGATGAGATTTAATTGTAGGTGTGATTGAATACATTGTGATCTGTTGCCCTTGGGCATGGAATGGTCAGAAATTGTTATCATCATTACTCCTATTTATTGAGCAATTACTATACACCAGGCACAGTTTTGAGCACTCTACAAGTATTAACCCACTGGTAATAACTACACTGGTTAAACCACTGGTTAACTACAGGTATTAACAAGGCTATGTGGTGGGTGCTATGATGATGCCCATTTCACAGAAGACAAGCTGAGGCTCAGAGGTTTATAAAAGGGATCTATCCTATCAGTGAGGCACAGAGGACAGCCAGAACGGGAAGCGACCAGGGGCCTGATAGGGTGGAGGATTGCTTCCATTCAACCACAGCTTTCTCCCTATGGGTGTATCCAGGGAAGGCCTCCAGGAAGGAGGGCAGCAAAGGAGGGCTGAGGTCACTGCATCCTCATTTGCTCTAACTTGGTTTTATTTCTCCGTGCTGTTCAACTAGAAAATTCTTTCTATGAGCCAGCTCTGGGCCAAGCACCAGGCTGGGTGTGGGGAGGCAGAGATAAGAGTCCTGGTTGCTGCCTCAAAGAGGCCCAGCCAGACAGACTCAGACAAGCAGACAGTTACAATGCCAGGCCCCGCAAAGTGAGAGAGAGAAGGTGAGGGAGCGAGCAGGTCCCGGGGGCACATCCATGCAGCCTGGCTGTGTGTGCTGGGGCTGAAGCGCCTTTCCGCCTGACTGTTGAAAGACAGTGGAGGTGTGGGCCTCCAAGGAGGGAGGGTCTGGGCCAGGAGACAAACAGCATGGAGGTGAGAGGGGGCACTCCTGCCTCTTCCTTGAAGACCCCCCCCTCCATGCCCTTCCTCTTCCTGGGCCCTGTCCTGTGGATTGAATATATATTACTGCTTTCCTCCCCTTTTAAAGCAACATCTAACTGCTCTTTGGTCCTGGCTCTCTGCAGTATTCATGATTTCATCAGCATGCTGGGGGGTTCACTTGCCAAAGCTCTTCTGCTATTGGAGATGTGCTTGTTCTTTTTGTCAGACAAACTCCTGGGCGCTAATTACAAAGATGTGGGCAGACTGTAGGGAAGCCTCAAGGGATGGCCTAGACCCTACGGGCGGT